CTGAAACTTGCTTTTGAACATAGAGACGTTAAAACGATGGGAAGAATTGAGGAAGTAAAAGAACTGAACAGAAAATTTCAAAGGGCAGCTGAAGAAAAGTAAAGTATTATAATGAAATGTGCAAAGACCTGGAGTTAGAAAACCAAAAAGGAACATGCTCAGCATTCTCAAGCTAAGAGAATTGAAGAACAAAATCAAGCCTCGAATTGCAATTCTGAAGGATTGAAATCAGGAACTGACAGAGTACAAATTGAAATCTTTCAGCAAACTGATGACAACACTGGAGGTTCTCACGTATCTATGCCAAAAATTTGGAAGACAGCTACCTGAACAACTGATTGGAAGAGATCCATTTCAAAGAGAGAGATTCCACAACAAAATGTGCATATCATTAAACAATATCATTAATGTTAAATGCAAGTAAAATTTTGCTGAAGATAATTAAAAAACGGGTGCAACAGTACACCAACAGGGAACTGCCAGAAAGTCGAGCTGGATTCAGAAGAGGACATGAAACGAAGACTATCTTTGCTGATGTCAGATGGACATTGGTTGAAAGAAGGGAACCCCAGGAAGATAGATATTTACTTGTGTGTTAATTGACTAGACAAAGGTTTTTGACTGTGTGGATCATGACAAACTGTGGACAACATTTAGAAGAATTGGGTATTCTAGAGCACTTAATTGTCCTTATGAGGAACTTATACATACACCAAGAGGTAGTTTTTGGAACTGAACAAGGTGATACTGAATGGGTTTAAAATCAGGAAAGGTGTGAGCCAGGGTTGTTGTATTCGTTCAGCCAACTTATTCATTAGGTTATTCAATCAATATCCTGAGAAAATAATTTAAGAAGCTGGGTTATATGAAGAATGTGGCATCAAGATTAAAGGAAGACTCATTAACAACCTGCGATGATCAGATGACACAACTTTAATTGCTGAGAATGAAGAGGACTTAAAATACTTGCTGATGAAGGTCAAAGACCACAGCCTTCAGTATAGATTGCACTTCAGTGTAAAGAAAACAAAAAATCCTCACAACGAAACCAGTGGATAACATCATGAAAAATGGAGAAACGATTGAAGTTGACAAACACTTCATTTTGCTTGGATCCACAGTCAACACTCATGGAAGCAGCAGTCAAGAAATCAAATGACATGTTGCATTAGGCAAATCTGCTGCACAAGACCTCTTGTGTTTAAGGGAGCAAAGATATCAGTTTGAGGACCAACGTGTGCCTGACTCAAGCACATTTTCAATTGCACAATACATGTGAAAGTTGGGCAATAAATAAGAAAGACCACTGAAAAATCAGTACATTTGAATTGCTTTGTTGGTGAAGCATATTGAAAGTACCATGAACTGCCAGAAGAACAAACAAATCTGTTTTGGAAGATGTACAGCCATAATGCTCTTTAGAAGCAAGGATGGTGAGATTTCATCTCTGGTACTTTGGACGGGTCAGGAAAAACCAGTCCTTGGAAAAGGACTTTCATGCTTGGTAAAAGTGGAGAGTCCTTGAAAAAGAGGAAGACTCACAATGAGATGGATCGACACAGTGGCAGCAACAGTGGGCTGAAACATAATAATTGTGAGGATGGCACAGGGCTGGGCAATGTTTTTGTTGTGCATGAACTGGACTAAGTGGGCATAACCTCACAACCACCAACACCACCTTCAAGTTACCTGCACCATCCATCTCAGAGCAAGGATTTTTTGTTTTGTCTTTTTTTGAAACTTAATTTGTTTGTGTAGTTAAAATATATAGTGAAACATCTACCAATTCAACAGTTTTTGCATGGACAATTCATTGACATAAATTACATTTATCATGTTGTGCAATCACCATCACTATCCATTCCCCAAAATTCCCATTGCCTTTAGCAGAAACTCAGTGCCCCTTAACCAATAGCTCTTTTTTTCTCCCTCCTATTGCTGCTGGTTACTAGCAATAAACTTTGGTGTCTATGCATTTGCCTGTTTTAGGTATTTCTTATGAGTTCATATAATATTTGATTGTATGAACATACTTGACATACTTCATTGAGTATGTTTTCAAGGTTCAGCCAGATTGTAGTACGTATTAGTATGTATTCTCTTTATGACTAATATTTCATTGTATGTATATTGTATAGTTTGTTTATCCATTCATCTATTAATGAACATTTAGGTTGTTTCCCCCTTTTGGCTGTTGTGCTACAATGAACATTGGTGTTTGTTTGCATTCCTGCTTTTAATTATTTTTGATACACAACAGTAAATCAAAAAGTTTTGCTACAAAATCACAGGCATCTTTATTGAACAGAAATATAAAAATGTGAAGCCATTGTTTCTTGACATAGTCTCCATCTAGGTCTATAAACTTCTGATGGTGACATTTCTCTTTTTAATCTTTCCTCAGATAATTCTGTGCTCTTCATTTTGCACTCCATCAAAATGGCAATTTTGGCATCCTTGAGAGATTAAAAATGTGTTCATTTTCAATGCTTGTTGAATTTTGGGAACTAAAAGAAATCTGAAGGGGTAATACCAGGACTGTAGGGTGGATGGGGTAAAAGGTGAGGCTTTCTGTTCCTGCAAAGATTTACCATCTTGGAAACCCTATACAGGGTCATTGTAAGTTGGAACCACCTCAGTGGCACTTAACAACAACAAAGGGGATGGGGTAAGGTTTCTCAATGAATTTCTCATAGGACAGCCCTTGAGATCCCTGCCTTTGAAGAATGAGCAGGTGCATTGTTGTGATGGAAAAAATTCCTCAGTGCAAATTTTCTAATCTTTTTATAAGTGCAGTTTTCAATATTCTTATAACTTCTTCCTAATAAATCTTCATTATCATCCTGTGTCTTTTGAGAAAATCTACCAAGGTGTTCCCTCAAAACAGTCACTATAACCTTCTGAGCTGACCTCTCTGCCTTGGATTTAATTGGCTCAACAGATCCCCTCAGAAGGCACTATTAGGATTGGACTCTTTTATCCTGGCACCCTGATGAGACTAAGACAAATGTATTATTGAGAGAACTTGTCTACAGTCACCCACTGATCACAGAGAAATGTTTAAACATGTTTGGTTTGGGGTAAATCTGTGCATGTATGAACTAGAACCCCAGTAGCAATACTTTTTGACTTACCTTTGTATACATCAGAGTGAAATTGCTGGATCACATAGTAATTCTCTTAACTTTTTGAGGAACCGCCAAATTGTTTTCCACAGTAGTTGCACGATTTTACATTCCTACCAGCAATGGAAGAGCCCAGGTAGGGTAGTGGGATAAATGTTGGGCTGTTAACCACAAGGTCAGTGGCTCAAACCCACCAGCTGCTCTGGGGAGAAAGATAAGGCTGCCTACACCCATAGTTTTGAAAACCCTATGGAACAGTTTGACTCTATATTAGATCACTGAGAGTCAGAATCTGTTTGGGTTTGGTTTTGTTTTTTGTGTAACAGGGGCAGATGAAAGATTTCTATATCTCCATATTCTCACCAACACCTGTTATTTTTCGTTTTTAAAACCAACCACCCTTGTGGGTATGAGGTGATATTGTGGTTTCGATTTGCAGTACTTTTTGATTTGCCCTCATTTGTCTGAGGCAAATGGTGATTGCATTTTAAATTTTTATAGTCTTGATACAGTAATTTTAAAAAGTTTTTTTTTTTTTTTTAAAGAAAGAATGGGAGAAGGAGAGCTCTCCACAGTGGCATGGTCAACCTGTTTGCTACTCAGTTCAAAATCCAAAGCACAAGAGATTTGATTGCTGTGCAGCTCATGCACTGCCCTTGTTTTCATCGACCATAACTGAAGTGTTTCGAACTGGTATGAAACCCTGCCTAATAGACAACTCATACTTTATGGATGAAAATCGGTTCCCTCCTCAAACCAATTCAACACCAACTCTTCTCAGATTAGTTGATGGCAACATTGCCCTTCCAATGGCTCAGGACAAAACTCTAGAGTCATCCTTGACTAGTTTCCTTCTCTCACATCACACATCCAATCTGTCAGGAAATCTTCATTGCTGTACCTTCAAATTAAATCTAGAACCTGGTCACATTTCTTCATTGTTCTACTACCATCCTGGTGTGAGTCACCATCTTGTCTTTCCTTCTCATCCTCTTGACCGCTGAGTGACTTACACAGCAGTTAGAGTGGTCTTTTTAAAATCCAGGTGAATTCTCAAAGCCTTTCGATGACTCTCATTTCATACAGAATAAAAGCCAAAACCTGCAGTGGTTTATAAGATTCTGTAGGATCTGGCTTCTGTCATTCTTTGACGCCACCTCCTACCATTCTCCTCTTTCTCACTCTGTTCCAGCTACACTGGACTCCTTGTGTATGGAACACACCAATTTAGACTCTTTGCACTGGTTCTTTTTTCTCTCTGGACTCTCTTTCTTCAGATACCCAGCATGACTTACTGCATCATCTATATTGAATGTTCAAGTGTCGGCTTCTCAGTGAGACTCATTGTAACAGTCATACTTCCAATCCCTTTACCCTGCACTTTTTATCCCTCCAGGCACACACCACTTTTTAATATACCATATCATTCACTTAGTAGTCCCTGAGGTGCTTTGGAATAAAGGAGCACAGTTCTACTCTGATACATGACTCAGAATCAACTTAATGGCAACTAGTTCTGGTGGTTATCATTCACTTAGCAGTCATGCATTTTTGTTTCTTGTCTATCTTCAGCAGAATCCTGTAGGGCAGGGATTTTTCCTTGCATTTTTGTTCACTGATGGATGGCTTGAGGTACCTAGAATAGTGCCTGGAACATGATAGGTACTAAATAAATATGTTAAGTTGAATGAATGCATGAATGAATTTTGAGTAAGGCCATATACATTAACATTTTTGTAATTTTGCTTCAAAATATTAAGATATGTAATTGTAAAAAAATTAATTTATTAACTTAATTAATTGTAAATGTTGGGTTGCAGATTTCCATATTCTTTAAGCTTCAGATGTGCTTTCTTTTTCTAAAATCTTTTTCAGCTTCAGTTGTAGAGGGTCAAAAAGGTATCATTCCTCGTGCTATACAAGAAATATTTCAAAACATCTCTGAAAATCCTAACATTGACTTTAATATAAAAGTGTCTTATATAGAAGTATACAAGGAAGAACTAAGAGATCTTCTAGAATTGGAGCCATCCATGAAGGATCTTCATATCCGAGAAGATGAAAAAGGAAACACAGGTAAAGTAGCTTATTTAGTTTCTAGCCTTTATTAATTGAATTGTGGATGTAATTTAATTCCGTTTCCAAATGTGTACTTAAAAATAGACAAAGAAGCAGACTGATTTTTTTTTTTTTTACCTTTAAATTGAATAGCTTATTGATTACCAATATAAGTTAAATTATCCAGTTAAAATGTAGAAATTCAGACTGGTTAGTAAGGTGAAGCTATTTATTTGTAAATTCAAATGATTTATGTCCTATAATTACTTTCCTTAAGACCAGCCTTAGGTATGACTATGAAATACACTGAATTTATTTTTACTTTTTGTCTTTTTTCCCTGCTTTGTCCTGGTCTTAGGGAAACTTCTCCCATTGTCGTTCATTCAAATTGGTTCCAAACTCTCCTTTCTTTGTCTTTGATTTTTGTCCTAGAACAGCTGTTTTTTCTTCTCTTTATTAAAGGAGTGCTGATAGCATTGTGGTCATGAGTCGGGCTGCTAACCTCAAAGTCAGCAGTTTGAAACTACCAGCAGTTTCACAGGAGTAAGATGAGGCTTTCTGCTCCCGTAAAGATTTACAGCTTCAGAAACCCTGTTATACAGGGGCACTATGAGTCGGAATTGACTCCATGGCACATAACCATCACCACCACCACACTTTATTAGAATTTATGTTTCTGCTTCTTCATTTATCTGTTCTTCATTGTGTCTCTCAAGCACCCTGTTGATCTCATTAATGAATGCCCATTTGTTTAGAAATGGGAAAAAATTGGAATGGGTGGGTCAAAGTGCAAATATTTTTAAAAATAACAACTTTCTGCATTTTTTACTTAAAAGGTAATATATTCACCATAAGGAGTCCTGGTGTGGTGCTATAGGATAAGCACTGGACTGCTAAATGTGAGGTCAGCAGTTTAAATCCACTAGCTGCTCCTTGGAAACCCTTATCTTACAGCAGGGGTGGAGAACTTTTTTCTGCCAAATTTTATAACACCATTCATGGGTCATACACAGTTATCAATTTAAAAATTAGCTTGCTATGTTTGGCCAAACATTTAATTAACTCAATAGTTGCTCCTCAGAAACCCTATACAAGGTCACTATGAGTTGGAACCGACTTAACAACAACAAATGTGATGGTCTGAGTCATGGTGTGGCGCTGTGGGATAATGTACTGGACCTCAAGATCAGTTTGATTTGCAAGGTTGGTAGTTCAAACTCACCAGCTGCTCCTTGGAAACCTTATACAGGGTCTCTATGAGTCGGAACTGACTCGATGGCATTTACCAAAAACAACAAAATAGGATGACTGGGACTGCAGGGCCAGACCAAAGGATTTTGAGGGCCTTATATGGCTTGCCCGCTGGACGTTCCCCACCCCTGATTGACAGGGTTGCCAAGATTCAGAACCGACTCCATAGCACTTAACAACAATATATTCATATATAGGATATTTGGAAAACAGAAAAGTATAAGGAAACAAGTTGAAGATCACCTTTAATCTCAGAACCTAGAAATAGCAACTTCTCTTTTTTCCTTCCATATTTTCTTCTATATACATTTAGTGTTGACAGTATGTTTTAAAAAATATACTTGTAACCCTGTATACAGTGTGCATCCTTTTTTAAAAAATCACTTCATATTATATTTCATGTCATTAAACATTTAAAAAAATTATGACTTAATGGTCATATGGTAATTTGTCATATGAATGTCACAATAATTTAAATTTTGGACATTTAATTTAATAATGATTGCTGGACATTTAGGTTGTTTCCAGGTTTTCCCTATCACATTAATATTTCAATGACTGTCTTCTTCTTTCAGAGAACACATTTAATAGTTCCTGTAACTATAGGACCCAGCTCAGAGGAGTCACATCCTAAGGGGAATTTCCTACCAGTAAGGAAAGGAGCCCTGGTAGCACAGTGGTTAAGCACTCAAGTTGTTAACTGAAAGGTTTGAACCCATCAGCGACTCCATAGAAGAAAAGACCTGGCAATTTGATTTTGTAAAGATTGTTGTTGTAAGTGCCATCAAGTTGGTTCTGACTTATAGCTACCCTGAATAAGGTTTCTGAGGAGCGACGGTAAGTTTGAACCACCGACCTTGCGGTTCAAACCAACCTTTTGGTCAGGCGCATTATCCTGCAGCGCCACACTAGGGACTCCTCTAGAAATGTTAAGTGCCGTCGAATCAGTTTCAACTCATAGCGACCCTGTATAGGGTTTTACAGGAGCTACTGGTGAACTTAAACCGCCGACCTTGCCATTTAAACTGACTTTGTAGTCCAGCACATTAACCCACAGTGCCACACCAGAACTCCTTATAAAAATTTGTATTGTTGTTAAGTGCTGTTAAGTTGGTTAGGACCCATAGCAACCCTGTATAGGGTTTCCAAGAAGCAGTTGGTGACCTTGAACCACCGACCTTGTGGCTCAAACCAACTTTACAGTCCAGCACATTAGCCCACAGCGCCACACCAGGGCTCCTAGGAAATCCTATGGGATGTTCTACTCGGTCATACAGGATTACCAAGTTGGATTCGAAGGCACACAATGAAAAAGAAAGAGGGTATTACCATTTAAGTAGCACCCTGCAAAATGCAGTGAATTTTGTATGCTGGTGGCCCTTGTATTTCCAGCTGTTTGAAGAAATTGAGATTTGTTTTGTTGTGTTTTAGAAAGAGCATATAATAAGGTAGTTTATGATCTTATTAGATAACTCAGTACAGTTTATATTTCCTTGGATAGAATTTACATGAATGTTTTCAGCTTCTGTATCCTATGGAACAGAATTATTGAATATTTTCATCTTTTTACAAAAATAACATGCATTCATTGTAAATCAGTCAAACAATGTAGAAGCATACACTACCACTCCTGATAATCTTGATGACAAAATATTCCATAGTTGATAATCAATTCCCCCAAAATTTTAGAAAGGTCTAACCGATTGTCTTAAGACAAATTGCCATGTCTTACACAGCTCACAATGAACATGTACTTATTTGACATATTATTTAGCGCTGCTGTGAAAAGTGGTGTTGGCACCAGCATAATTAGAATCACCTGGGAATATCTTTGTAAACCTTTGATTTCTGGGCTGCACTGCTCTGAGATTTTGCTTTAATTAGTCTGAGATAGGCCCTGAGCATTGGTATGTCTTTTTTTATGGAGTGCCCAGGTGATTTGCACCTAAGTTTGAGAAGCGTACTGTTCAGCGTAACATCAGAAACATTTAATAAAATTTTACTATGATTCACAGTTACATTGTCATGTTCTATAATCCCTGATATTTTTAGCACTGTCTGTTCATACAGCTTTAAATGAAATAGGTTTTTTTAAAATGGTGGCATGGTGGAAAATGGTATAAAGTGATTTCTTTTTCCCCAGAGAAGCAGTGACATGCCAGGGTCTGATTAAAGACAAAATGTGATGCTGCGATTAGTGCATATACTCTGGAGCACTGTTGCTCTGGTTCAAATCCCAGCTCTGCTAACTACTTCTCAATTCTTTTGTGGTAAAACATATAATAACAAAAATATAAAATATATAATAACAAAAACTTGCCGTTTTAACCATTAATTTTGTATATATAAGAGTCCTGGTGTGGCGCTGTGGGTTAATGTGCTGGACTGCAAAGTTGGTTTGAACTGCAAGGTTGGTGGTTCAAGCTCACCAGTTGTTCCTTGGAAACCCTATACGGGGTCGTTATGGGTTGGAACCAACTTGACAGCACTTAACAACAACAAAAATTTGTATATTATATATATATATATATAAACCTTTGCTACTTTAATCTTTTTTACATGCATAACTCAGGAACATTATGTTCATCATGTACAACCATTTTCACTATTTCCAAAAGTTTTTCATTACCCATGTGCTCCTTTTTGCAATATCATTGGATATAAATTAAAAAATGCATGGAGTTATTTTTGGCTCTTACTCTTCAGTTGAAATAGAAAGTTTTTTTTCTCTTTTTTTGAATTGCCATATGATATCTACCTTGCACTCTGATGTTATGTAGGGCACACATGCCGTAAAAATGAATAACCATTTTTATTTCTCCTGGATTTACTTCTCAGTGATTAGGATCCACAGTACCAGCAAATCTTAAAGCTAAGGGTGGCCTTATGTATTAATGGAATGCAAAAGAAACTAATTTCTTTTAATGCAGAGCTTTGATAGATAGTGACTCTACAAATCAAAATGCTGCAATAAAGAGTTTTTCTTTTGTCAGATATATTTATAAGAGCTGAGTGTGATGTGTGATTCCAAGAAACAGGATTGCTTTAAAAATGATGCAGTTTAGAACATATGCATCAAAATGGTTTCTTTGAGAGATTACCTAAAATTACTTAATGACTATGGATTTCTTTAAGGGCCTTTGTTGGTTGGACAGCTTAGCAAATCATAATTGTTGTGTGGTTAACTTTAATGTACTGGATTTTGATCAAAACTTGGTCTAAACATTTGCTCTTGCTATTTTAAGTGATTGCCGGGGCTAAAGAATGCCAGGTGGAGAGTGCAGACGAAGTGATGAGTCTCCTGGAGTTGGGGAACGCAGCCAGACATACAGGGACCACCCAAATGAATGAGCACTCCAGTAGGTCACATGCTATCTTCACCATCAGCCTTTGCCAAGTGGAGAAAAATACTGAGGCAGCTGAAGATGCATCTTGGAAATCCCCTCGGCATATTGTTTCAAAGTTCCACTTTGTGGATTTGGCTGGCTCTGAAAGAGTAACAAAAACAGGCAATACAGGTGAGCGGTTTAAAGAATCCATTCAGATCAACAGTGGACTGCTGGCTTTAGGGAATGTCATAAGCGCTCTTGGGGACCCACGAAGGAAGAGCTCGCATATTCCCTACAGGGATGCTAAAATTACCCGGCTTCTGAAAGACTCCCTGGGAGGCAGCGCCAAGACTGTCATGATCACTTGTGTTAGCCCATCTTCCTCTGATTTTGATGAATCCTTAAATTCTCTCAAATATGCCAACAGAGCCCGGAACATTAGAAATAAGCCCATTGTAAACTTCAGCCCTGAGTCAGACCGTATGGATGAAATGGAATTTGAAATTAAGTTGCTTCGAGAAGCTTTGCAAAGTCAGCAGACCAGTATCAGCCAGACTAGCCAGACCCATTCAGAGGGGACTCCTGATAAAAATAGGATCCATTCTCTTGAGGAGCTAGTAGCCCAGTTACAAGGAGAATGTCTGGGTTACCAAAATTGTATAGAAGAAGCCTTTACTTTCCTGCTGGACTTAAAAGATGGTGTCAGGCTAAACCAAAAGCAGCAGCACAAACTTCAGGAGTGGCTTAACATGACCCAGGAGGTGAGGAAGTCAGCACCTAGCTCATTCAGACATCGAAGCATTGGAAACATGGAAGAAGGACCACAGCATGTTACGGTTCTCCAGCTGAAGAGAGAGCTTAAGAAATGCCAGGTACTTAGAGTCACTTTTATAAGTAACTTGTTTAAGAATTGACTTATTTGGGCAAGTAAATGCTGAGAGTCAATTTGAAATTGTACAAGTTTTACCAAAGGGATTGCATATGTTGAAATGTCCTCATTTGCCTTTCCCTCATTCTCTTTCTACCCTCTCCTTCCTTATTGTTGTCTCTTCACAAGTCATATTTTTTTTGGCACTTCCTTCTTTCTGCTTTAGTAAAATATGTTTATTAAAGTGAATGTTGTGAACTAGTGGCTCTTTGAAGGATGGAAAGAAACAAAGTTTCAGAAACAAAATGAAGTTACACTCTTAATTTTTCTTCCTGTGTGGATCAATGAAAGGAGACCTGGTAATGCATTGGGTTAAGCATTGAACTGCTAATCGGTTGATCAGCGGTTCAAGCCCACCATCCACTCTGTGGGAGAAAGATGAAACCGTCTGCTGCTGTAAAGATTTACAGTCTCAGAAACCCTTTGGAGCAGTTCATCTCTGTCCTGTAGAGACACTGTAAGTTGGAATTGGTAGTGGGGTTCTTTGTTGGTTTTGTGTGTCAGTGATTCTTAAAAGGGAAAATAAAAATCCATCCTTTGTTTAGAATATAGTTATTTTGAACAGATCATTTCATATGTTATATTTAAGAAAAAGAGGTATGTTCCTGCATATATTTGTGTGTGTATTTCAGAATTCTGTTTTCCCACCTTTCATTCAAAAAGCATTTATTGAGTGAAGCTTATGTGTCCCTGGGTGTGTTAGTGATCTAGTGCTACTATAAAAGAAATACTGTAAGTGGGTGGCTTTAATAAGAAAATTTGTTTTCTAAATTTATTTTATTGTTTCCACCACTTGTTTGTCAGTTTGTCATACTGTGGTAGACTGTGTGTTGCTGTGATTCTGGAAATTATGCCAATGGTGTTTAAATACCAGCAGGGTCATGCATGGTGGACAGGTTTCAGTGGAGCTTCCAGACTAAGACAGACTAGGAAGAAGGAGAGGCAGACCACTTCTGAAGGGTTAGCTACTGAAAAACCTTATGAATAGCAGCGGAACATTGTCACATGTACATTCTGAGAGGCTAGAAGTCAGAGTTCAGGGCTCTGGCTTTATGGGAAGGCTTTCGTTGTCTGGGGAATGGTCCTGGTCTCTTTTCATTGGCTCTTGTTCCTTGGTTTCTTGGTGATCTTTGCATGATATGGCATCTGTCTTCCCCCATCTCTGCTAGCTTGATTGGTGGTTTGTTCAATCTGCTCTTTTGTAACTCAGAAGAAATTGATTGAAGATATACTGTACACTAATACCATCTTATTAACATGACAAAGACAACCCATTCACAAATGGTATTATTGTTGTGATTGTTGTTAAGTGCCATTGAGCCTGTTCCTATTCATGTTAGTTGTTGTTGTTAGGTGCCTATTTATAGGGACCTTATGCACAACAGAATGAAACACTGCTCGGTCAAGCACCAATCTTGAGCCCACTGCCGCTGCCACTGTGCCAGTCCATCTCCTTGGGGGTCTTCTGACTCATAGTGATCCTGCATAGGATTTCTTAAGGAGTAGTTGGTGGGTTTGAACCAACAACATTGTAGTAGGCAGTCTAGTGCTTATCCTATAGTGCCACACCGGGACTCCAACAACAGGTATGTTGTTAAGTGCCATTGAGTTGGTTCTGACTCCTAGCCACTGTTTATAGGGTTTAAGAGGGAAGGCAAAGGTTGGTGGATTTGAACCATTGACCTTGTAATTCAAATTGACCTTATGGTCCAGGGCTTATCCTATAGCTCTACACCAGGACTCCAACAGATATGTTGTTGTTAAGTCCGTCAAGTCAGTTCCAACTCATGGTGACCCTGTATAGGGTTTCCGAGGAGCGGCTGGTGGGTTTGAACTGCAGACCTTGCAGAGCCACACCAAGACGACACCACAGCTCAACAAGTGGTAGTTTCTAAAGGTCACTTCCGTTGTGGAGTATAAAACTCTTTTGTTATATTAAAATCTGTACATTAAAATCCAATGGGCTCTAGCATGTATAATATTTCATCTAAATAACATGCCCATTATATATTTTTATATGTAAATGTGCTATACCAGTTTCTTTCATGTTGCCTACTTCAGTTTCATTTTTCCCTCATGTTTGATGTTCTAATGTCATCTCACAGCTCTTCTGGTCTTTAGTGTCTAATGCATCAAATCTGTTCTTGAGGTGATCTTTAAATTCAGTATTTGGCATGAAGCAGAACCTTGGTAAATGTTAATTTTCCTTCTGTTTAATATAACTAAAAAATGTTTCAAATGTATTATTTTCATACCCCTGGTTGTGGACTGTAGGATGAGTTTTGGATCTTGACCCACAAGGTCAGCAGTTCAAGCCCACCAGCTGCTCCTTGGAAACCTTATACAGGGTCTCAGTGAGTTGGAACTGACTCAAAGGCACTCAACAGTACACTTAAAAACAAGCGTAATTCTTTGGGAACTAAGAAATAACTTCTTCAAAATATAAAGTCTTATCTCCTCAGAGTGAAAAGTACAAAATCAGGAAGCAGGAACTGATACTTAGTTTATTAACAGAGAAATATAAATTTAAAAATGTATTCTTATACCTGGGTGCAGTGGTGGAGCTGTGGGATAAGCACTGGACTGCTAACAAGGTCAACAGATCAAACCCATCAACTGCTTTGCAGGAGACACATGAGGCTTTCTGCTCCCCTAATGATTTACAACCTTTGAAACCCTATACGGGATGGCTATGAGTCAGAACCCAACTGACAACACCTAACACAACAACATCGTTCTTATACCCTATAGGTCAGATTTGGAAAATTGTGAACCTTTTCCTTTTTTTTAAAGCCCATGTTAAAATGTCAGCAATTCCAGAAAAATTGCAAAAATCTCATTGAAGTTACTCTAGAACCTAAATGACTGGTTTTAATTTTAAATTGCAAGAAATATAAATCCAGAAAATCGTGCTCTAATCATGGTCATTAATTTCTATACTGTAGCAGTGATACATTCTCTCAACTGTTTCTTTCTTATAAATAAACCAGGAAATAGTTCAAAATGAAAAGGATGAGAAAAATTTTAAGAGGCACCATCATACTATCAAAGGAGCTCTGGTAGCATAGTGGTTACAAGTCGGGCTGCTAACCTCAAAGTCAGCAGTTTAAAACTACCAGCTGTTCCGCAGGAAAAAGATGAGACTTTCTGCTCCTGTAAACATTTACAGCCTTGGAAACCCTGTACAGGGTCACTATGAGTCGGAACCGAGTCCACAGCACATAATCACACCACCACATCAAGCTATCATCAGACTGCTATTTTTGTGGGTTCTTGTGAGTCTTCACAGCCTCTGAATGTGCATCTCACGCAGGCCTTCTTTCTCTCTTAGTGTGCTCTTGCTGCTGATGAAGTAGTTTTCAATCAGAAGGAACTAGAAATGAAGGAGCTCAAGAATCAAGTGCAAATGATGGTACTGGAAAACAAAGGACATGTTATATCCTTGAAAGAAGCACAAAAAGTGAATAGATTGCAGGTAAGTCTGCTATAGATTTAGTTGAAGTACCCCATTGCCGCTGAGTTGATTCTGCTTCTGACCCTAAGGACAGAGTAGAACTGTGCTTTAGGGTTTCTGAGACTGTAAATCTTTTTGGGAGCAGAAAACCTCATCCTTCTCTCTTTGGGTGGCTGGTGGGTTTGAACTGTCTATAGACAATTAATTACTCAGCCATAATGAGAAATGAAGTCGTCATGAATCCCACAACATGGACAGTTGTAAAAGGGCAAATACTTTATTATCTCACTTTTATGAAGTGATGGTGGATCCAAGCAAAGTGAACTCTTTGACAACTTCAATCTTTTCTCCATTTAGCATGATGTCATTTATTGGTCCAATGGTGAGGATGCTTGTTTCTTTACATTGAGGTGCAACACATAGCAAAGATTGTGGTCTTTGATCTCTATCAGCAAATATTTTAAGTCCTCTTTGCTTTCAACAAACAAGGATGTATCATTGACAAATAGCAGGATGTTAATGAGTTTTCCTCCAATCCTGATGCCACGTTCTTCTTCATATAATGCAGCTTCTCAGATTATTTACACAGCATATAGAGTGAATAATTATGATGAATGAATACAATCCTGGCACACACCTTTCCTGATTTTAAACCATTCAGTGTCCCCTTGTTCTGTACGAGCCTCTTGGTCTATGTACAGGTTTCTCATAAGCACAATTAAGTGTTCCAAAATGCTCCTTCTTCACAGTGTTGTCCGTAGCTTATCACGATCCACACAGATGAAAGCTCTTGCATGGTCAGCAAAGCACAGGTAAACGTCTTTCAGTCATTCTCTGCTTTCAGACAAGATCCATCTGATGTCAGCAATGCTATCCCTCGTTCCACATCCTCATCTGAATCAGGCCTAAACCTCTGGCAGTTCCCTATCAGTGTACTGTTGCAATTGTTTTTAAATTATCTTCAGCAAAATTTTACTTGCATGTGATGTTAATGATATTGCTTGATGATTTGTGCATTCCATTGGGTCACCTCTATTTGGAATGTGCACAAAACTGATCTCTTCCTATCAGTTGGCCAGTTAACTGTCTTCCAAATTTCTTGACAAAGATGAGTACCTCCAGTGCTGGATCAGCTTGTTGAAAGATTTCATGTTGAATTCCACCAATTTCCCAAGCTTTGTTCTTTGCCAAAGCCTTTGTACTTCTTCCTTCAGTACCACTGGCTCTTGACCATATGCTATTTCTTGAAATGGTTGAACATCGACCATTTCTGTTTGCTACAATAACTCCTCATATTCCTTCTATCTTCTTTTGATGCTTTTTGCATCATTCAATATTTTGCCCATAGAATCCATACAAGTTGAGCCTTTAATTTTTCCTTCAGTTCTTTCAGCTTGAGTTTAAGCATGTCTCTATGATCATAGATGGCTGCCGACAAGTTCTCGCAGTAATAATCTTGTCTTAACCTTGTTAGGGTGTCTTCAAATAAAAGAAAAAAGGCTCAATCTGAGGGGAACTGCTTCTGGGCCAGTTAAATGCAAGGCCAAGAAGTCAGTTCATAAGATTATGGCGACTGCTTTTAGGTATTTAAAGGGGGTAATCTTTAAAGATTTTTCTCGAAGGACACAGGGAAATCATGGGGGCTGATAAAGAAGTTTCTTTTTCTGGCAGGGTACAGTGTACTTTATTGGTTTACACCACAAGGTTGGGCTCTCTAAGGCCCTCCCATTCTCCAGGTGGTATGGATGGGAGCTTCTCAGTGTGCTGGGGATTGAGTCAGGGCAGGGACTCCCCAGCAGCTGAGGCCCTCTCTCTTCCTCTAATGCTACTGTTAGGGCTGGTGGTCCAGGGGACTTATATTCCTTGGAGACTATAAGGTCCATCACGCTGTTGATGTAGTCAGATTCATTGTCATATCAGGAAATAATCTTGACCAAGCTGTCATTGAGGTCAATGCCAGCCCCAGGATTAAAGGTGGAAGAGTGAGTGTCCCTGTAAAATTGCAGGAGACAACCTGGTCTTCAATGTAGCCCAGGATGTCCTTTAGAGAACTATTTTAATGCCTGCTTCACCACTTTCTTGATATCATCATATTTGGCAACTTTTGTTAGAAGGTAAGTCACATTCATCATGGATACATTGGGTATGAGTCATGGAAGGCCAGGCCAGTGAGGTTCCCAGTCTACTCAGGGATGACTTTGCCCACAGTGTTGGCAATACTGGTAGATGAGGGGATGATGTTCTGAGCAGCCATCTGGACATCCATCCATAGTCTTCTGGGTGGCAGTGTTGGCACAGATTGTGATCATGAGTCCTTCCACAATGCCAAAGTGGTCATGGATGATCTTGGCTGAGGGCCAAGCATTTAGTGGTGCCGGAGACATTACTGACAATCTTGAGGGAGCTGTCATACTTGGTTGTCATACATGGTTCACATCCATCACAAACATGGGAACATCAGCAGTAGAGGCAGAAATCTTTACCATTTGACACGACTCTTGAAGTGAGCCTCCACCTTTTCCAAGGTTATGAAGACGCTGGTGGACTCTGCAACACACTCAGCACCAACATCACCCCATTTGATGTTAGTAGGATCTCACTCCTGGAAGTGCCATTGAACACGTAGACCGTGTGATTTTTGGCATTTAGGTTATTTATATCATTTGGCTATTGTGAAAAGTGTTTCAATAAATTGCTGTACGTATTTCTGTTTGTATTCTTCCTTTGACTTCATCTCTCCACTTATGTACCTAAAAATGGAATTGCTGGGTCAGACAGTAACTCTGTGTTTAACCTTTTGAAGAACTACCAAACTGTTTTCTACTGAGGCTGTGCCATTTTACAATCCTGAGAGCAATGGATTAAAGTTCTAGTTTCTCTATAGCATCATCAACACTTAATGTTTTCTGTTTTTCTAATCATAGCCATCCTAATGGGAAAACCAGCTTTCTTTTGATTAATGATTACATGGCATCTCTTATCCTGTATTATTTTTAATCCATTTTAGTTGTGTTTCTTGTAGGCAGCTAGTAAAATTGTATCTGGCAATCAATCGTTAATTAGATTATTTAGTTCATATATGAACTTAAAGTACTGCTGTATTTTGACTAAAATACATCATTGTAATTTTTATTTATTTGCCTTCTCTGTATTTCCTTTTCCTTTTCTCTCCTTTTCTACCTTCTACCAATTGGCATTCTTTATTTTTCTATTCTTTTTCTCCATTAGCTCAGAAGTTGTATTTTTACTTCTTCTCCTTCCCCACCAGTTTTTAACCGGGAAAGTATACCATTCACCTTTGACTTATTAAATTCTAATATTAATGAGCACTTTTTCCCTTTTCCCAGACAATATAAAGTTTTCATTTAATACTTCTATGCCATTGGTGTTGAATATCCTAATTATCTGAATATATGACTTTTAATAAAAATAAGATATTTATACTGCTTAACATCAACACAACAAAATATTAGAGTTCTTTTTTTCTTCTGTCCCATAAACATTGTAGAGTATGTTCTGTGTCAAGATAAATGACAATTTCTTGTTACATAATTGTGTACTTGTATAATAAAGATTGCTGTTAGAACTTTCTGGAGGGGGTATATTTCAAGTTGTTTAATTCAAAGTTACATACAAAGATAGACCAACTTACACACATGTACACACTCACACACTCCGGCTAAGCCAAATGTTCTGCCTTTGATTTCTAAGGTTTCCTTTCTGCTAGGGCTAATAGTTAGCTATCTTCTATCTCTTTGTGTGTTTAGCTTTCTTTTCACTGAGTAAAGACTTCACTTCATTGTACCTCTTACCACTCTTTGCTGCAGTCTCTGCTGCTACAATTCTTTGTTCACTTTTCAACTTTGTTGTTTCATGTTACTTCTTGGATTTCAATCAGAAAGCCGCTACTTTTACAAAGACCGGCCAATTAAAGAGCTTCAGGTTGTTGCCGCTTACTATTAAAAAACAATAAGTATCAGAACAAGCCCAGATATTTATAAACATTAGCCTTTGGATAATTGAGGTTTTATTGTACTGTTAAAGTAGTTGTGATTTTGGTCAATGTAAAGTTTCTTTTTTATCATAATATAAACTTGTACTGAGGTTCATTTAAAGTATTCTCGTCTTCCTCAAAGAATGAAAAAATAATAGAACAACAACTTCTTGTGGATCAACTGAGTGAAGAACTAACAAAACTTAACCTGTCCATGACTTCTTCAGTGAAGGAAACTTGTGGAGATGGGCCAGATGCCAGGATACCTGAAAAGAGACCATTTACTGTACCATTTGATAATCATTTGGGGCATTATATTTACATCCCAGCAAGACCAGATTCCAGGAAGGTAAAGTCCAATCATTGATAGTTTTCTTATTTTGAGACTTATAATCTACTGTATACAATATAGTGTAATGTATGAGTACACAATCTCAACATTTTCCCCTTATTTGGTTTCATGGTCTTTGGTACATATATACTTAAAAGCAGTTCCCCCCCTTTTTTTATAATTGTGATTTGGGTGAAGATTTACAAAAAAAAATTGGTTTCCCATTAAACAGTTCTTACACATTTTATTTTGTGACCAAGAATGTTTTTTTTTAAACGAAAAATGAATAGATGAGAATGTATAGTTATATTGCTTAGTAAAGTGAAAGGTCAGTGAAAAAGAGGAAGACCCCCCCACCCCCCAAATGAGATGGATTAGCACAGTGGCAGCAGCAGTGGGCTCAAGAGTAACAGTGATTGTGAGGATGATGCAGGACTGGGCAGTATTTTGTTCGGATGTACACAAGTTTGCTGAGTTGGAACCAACTTGATGGCACTTAACAGCTATAAGTTCTATTGGAGTCCTGGTGTCAAGCTGTAGTATCGGATATGTACTGGACTGTCAGCTGCTTCTTGGAAACCCCTTATAGGGTTGTAGGAGTAAGAACTGACTCGATGGCGCTTCACAACAACGGGTATATTTGGAGGGAGTAGTTAGAATTTTCTCATTAAGGTGAAAAAAATGATCCTTTGCCATCATGTTATCAGCCATGACTAAGTTTGTTATCTTTATAATTATTTTTTCCTTTTAGTCATACCAGGTTGAGAGGAAGTTGGAGGGTATTTATTTTGACTTGTGTTCTGTGCTTTATTGTTGTTGTTAAGTGCCATCAAGTTGGTTTCAACTCGTAATGACCCTGTATAGGACTTCCAAGGCTGTAAACTGTCGTAGCAGAAAGCCTCATCTTTCTCCCGCAGAACTGCTGGTGGGCTTGAACCACTGACCTTGTGGCTCACAGTCTGGTGCTTTTCCTCCAGAGTCACCTTGTTCCTGATCTGTGCTTTAGTATATTTAAAATGACCTCTATGCATTATTCGGTCTTGCCTTGTTGACGTAATTGTTGTTGTTAAGTATCGTGGAGTCAGTTCCGAGTGATCCTGCACAGAGTTTCCGAAGCTGTAAATCTTTATGGGGACAGAAAGCCTCATCTTTCTTGCGCGGAATGGCTGGTAGTTTCGAACTGCCGACCTTGAGGTTAACAGCCCAATTTGTAACCACTATGCTACCAGAACTCCTTTGTTGACATAATTAGTATGGAGTTTAGTTTAGTTTTTTGTTTAATTGTAAATAATTTGTGGGTGATAAATATAAGCACACATAGAATATCTACTGTGGTAGGCTAGATGAGTGAATTTTGGCTTACAGTTTCTCCTTGTATAAAGGGACATGATTTGTTTTAGTGAGAACTGCCTGGTGGTTACAGTTACAGAGGTAAGAACTATGAGAGGAAGTGATTTATGAGCCACATCACAGACTTTGCAGTCAGGCAGGCTTGGGTGTGATTGCAGCTCTAGTGTGCCACTTTGCAATTTGACTAGGACTGTGTGAGCTCCAGGTTCCTTATGAGTAAGAATGGGGGTGGTAACAAGAGGATGGATGGATGATGCACATGAATGACTCTCAAAGTGCCCAGTGCAGTGCCTGGTCCGCTATGCCTCCCGGCACAAGTCCAGGGAGTGTCAGATGCCCCCAAGTGAATGAGGCCGATACTATCCTTAACTGGCTAGATGTTTTGTCAGTTTTGCATGGGTGGATTGAAAAATTTAAACCATTGTTGGTATTCATTTAAATTGTATTTGGGAAGCCATTGCCATTGCTATATAGCAATTTTCATAGAGCATTCGGGAAGAAAGAGAAATTCTTTCCAGGGTTCAAATTTGTTATTTGTTAATTTACCTTACTAATTATCTATAAGTATATCGAGTCTTAAGGAGGTCTGGTAGCGTAGTGGTTACGAATCGGGCTGTGAACCTTAAGGTCAGCAGTTCGAAACTACCAGCCGCTCCGTGGGAGAAAGATGAGGCTTTCGCTATGGGTCGGAACCGACTCAATGGCACTTAACAACAACATATCGAGTCTTAGTGCACTGGACTGCAAGGTCAGTTTGAACTGCAAAGTTGGAGGTTCAAATTCACCAGCTGCTCCTCAGAAACCCTATACAGAGTTGCTATGAGTGGGAACCAACTCAATGGCACTTAACAACAACACTTGTTATAGTCAAAATCCACTTGGCAGCACCCAATAAGAAGGAGTAGTTATGTGAACATATCTTGTTTCTGCCCCTTTTTCATTTGTTAAAAATAGCATTTGTGTTTTCTGGTTATAAAGTGGTGGTGGTGGTGGTTATGTACTGTAGAGTCAGTTCTGACTCATAGAGACCCTCTCTAGGGTTTCTGACTCTCTAAATCTTTATAGAAGCAGAAAGTCTCATCTTTCTCCCATAGAACCGCTGTTAGTTTCGAACTGTTGACTGATTAGCAGCCTGACTCATAACCACTATGCTACCAGAGCTTAGTTATAAAGTTGTTGTTAAGTGGCATTGAGTCACTTCCGACCCATAACAACTCTGTATAGGGTTTCCGAGAAGAGGCTGGTGAGTTTGAACCGCCAACCTTGTAGCTCAAACCTATTTTACAGTCCAGATCATTAACCCACAGCACCACACCAGGACTCCTGGTTATAAAGTAGCACGTGTTTATTCACTTTTTTTGGTCTTAGTTTCTTACACACACACACACACACACACACACACACACACACTTTTTTGGGAGCTAGAGCTCCATGCCTCTGTAAGAAGGTCGCTGAGTTGGAACCAACTTGACGGCACTTAGCAACAACAAAGAGTTGTATTGGAGTCCTGTTATCAAGCTTCTAATCTAATATCTGCTTTTTTGATTAGACCTGAAGTAGTTGTGACTGGAATGAAGATTTCCACAGTTACTGTTTCAAATTAGCAAGATTTAAGTTTAGTTTAAAAAATTTCCCTCCTATCCCAAAAGTAACCTTCCATACACCAAAAGAAGGGGGAAAGGAGGAAGATAGAAAGGTCAGAGTTTTTAGAGTTCTTATGTTCCTCCTTTGTGTCCAGGAATCCACATGGAAAGTCAGGCTTGCATGGAAGAAACAGCGTGGCAAGACTTAGTCAAGTTCTATCTGCTATTCTGTTGTTCTAAGGGAAAAGGGAAGGTCTCCAAAACTAGTTAAAGTAAGCTAGAATTGGCATATGAAATACCATTTATTTTATTCTAGATTTCTGTCTCCCTTTCAGAAATCTAGCTATTCTAATATTTCCTTGAAATGAAAATAATCTAGTGAGATAAATATTTCCTTGAAATAAGATGAAAGGGAAGGAAACATTGGCTTCTTAATCATTTCCCAAACTGATTACAAAAAGAGACTGATGTTATTTGTTAACGTGCTTTTTTATGCATATTGGAGACAAAGACTGAAAAGTCCAGTCAGCATTTTTCATTGATCTTAGTTATTTTAAAAGTGTATTATTTATTATGAAGTACTAGTGTAGCACTGTAGGATAAGCAGCTGTTCAAACCCACCAGTTGCTCTTTGGAAATCCTTTACAGTACAGAGTCACTATGAGTCAGAACTGACTCAACAACATTTGACAATATCTTTAGACATAAACTTTAATTCCTACAATTTCTCAATTAATAGCATATCATGAATATTTGACAGTCATTAAGTATTCTATAACATACAATTTTCAAAGGCTACCTAATATTTTATCCTAAGGAAATACCATTGGAGAGGGAGTGGAGCTCTGAACTTTTTCCTCTGGTGAGCTTTGGGTGGTGGTAGGGGCCGGGGCTCCTGAAGTGGAAAGAATTCGGCATCGACAGTCACCCCACAAGGAAGGTGGCCTGACCCTGGATCTATGTTACACTCCTTGCACTGTTCCTGTGGCCAGGCAGAGCCTGTGCTGTCAGGTTTGCACGCATGTCTCTCTCTGGTTTCATTTCTTAGTATTATTTCCCAGGAAACTGTAGTTGAAGACAGAAGTGCATTATAGAAGAGGGCTGGATGTGGAGATTCTGAGAGAGATCGTTCCCAGGAGGCACAATAACAATATTTTGATATGAATTTAAAAAGTTTTTAGGCCATATTTTCATTGACAAACTATTTTTAGAGTACCTATCTAATAACGTTTTTTTAAAACATAGGATAAACATAGAAGTTTTAAAAAATCACTTTTTTTGTTGTTGGGTGGGGGAATTACTTGCAAGGTCTACACAAGTCCTCCTATGTACTCTCTGGATCGAATAGTTGCTGGATTTCGAACGCGAAGTCAGATGCTGTTGGGTCACTTAGAAGAACAAGATGAAGTTCTCCACTGCCAATTTTCTGATAATAGTGACGATGAAGAAGCAGAAGAAGGTCAGGAGAAATCTGGACTCAGGTATGTTAAACATAGACAAATTTAGTGTGTATTATTACTATGATGCAATAAATGTCTACAAGAGGACTTTGAAAATTTATAGACAAATGGAATTGAAAGATAATGGAGCCCCCTTATACAGGTCAGATATAGGTTTTCCATTATGATTTATCTTTTGTATGTAAAAGTAAATAGTTTAGCTAGATATACTGTCAAATAATGTATTATGAAACTAGTGCTTGTACACGTCATCAGTTTTATAATAAAAACATAATTTTGCTTTCAGACATTTTTTAGTTCTTAGATTCTAATTTTCTGAGGGAATCTTTGTGGATTTCTGATGCTGCAGCCACTCGAGCACAAATGTTGCATTTTTCATTGAATGCAAATTGGGTGAGGGTATATTGGTAAGATTATTTATTTTATATAGTACTTTAAAAATACTACTGTCACTTTTGGGAAAACTAATTTGAGCGCATATTAGAAAAAATTAACAAAGAAGTTGCTTTGATTTTGATCTTTTTTCTTTTTTTTTAAGACAATGTAGAAGTCACCCATGGATTCAAAAGCCAAGCCCTGTTTGTTCTCTTGTTGAATTGAATGATATTCAGGATCAAGCACACAAGTCAACTTTGGCAAATGAAGGTACCCAGGCTGGAATCATTTAGATTTAGACAAAGCCCTTCTCTCTGTCTTCAGTCTATTTAAGACACATCTAGGAGTTCTCAAGAATTAGAACTTGGTAGGAAGTCTTTCTTAGCTAGAGGAACTTTACACTGTCTGTTCAACCTCTGCTTTTAAATCTTTCAATCTTTCTTTTTACTCAGTAGAAGTTTTTTCCCACTTAAGATCAGTCATTTCTGGGTTGCATTGTAGGTGAACTCTCTCAGAATAGGGATTTCATATTCAAGCCTGAGTTGAAATACATTATATTGTTGGTTACTTTAAAAGCTGCATATGTAAATTACTCAGGTGTTGACTGATTCACTGGCACACCTGCCTATCATTTATTTGTGTACTTTTTTACTGTGCGTTTTATAATCTCACTTGTATTTGGCATTAGTTTACTAGAGGCTTGTAATGACTTCTTGTTCTTGGTAAGTCTTAGCAACCCTGTATTAGGTTTCCGAGAAGTGGCGGCTAGTGGGTTTGAACTGAAGTCAAGTGCTTATCCTACAGCAGCACTGTGATGCCATCAAATAGCAGTATCAAACATATTTATGTTAAAAAAAAGAGAGAGGAATACTCTAAACTGTAGTATACTGATAAAAAAGAACAAAATGTACAGAAAAGTAAAACCTTCTGCCCTCTCCTAATCCAGTTCTCTAAAGGCAACCACTCATAAATGTATCTAATCTAAATTAAAATTTTGTTTAATGTTTATATAGCAAATACTATACAATAGTAGGAAATTTTAAGTCATCACTCTCGGCCTTTGAGTTTTCAAACCACACACACACAAAAAGAGTAAAGATATAGCAAGTATAAATAGCATCATAAATAAGTATTACACTAAAAAGGTAGAGACCATCTTTTTAAAAAAACAACAACATTATTATTGTGAATTGTGTGAAGGTTAATGACAAGATCATCAGCTTTACCCTCAACCAATCATAGATTTTGCTCCATCTCAGTGATTACAATCCCCTTCCTGCCACAGCAATTATCCTTTCTCCTTCCTGTGGCTTCCCTTTTACATCTTATTTTTCACAAATCAACAAAGCAAAAAATTTGATGTACACATACAAAACAAAAAAATATGTGTTCATTTAAATGTCCAAAGGGAACATATTTTTAAGAGCTTATGTGTGTAATATAATTTTTTTTAAAATGGCTATATTATATAACAAGTAAAATTAAATACTTTCAAAATGTAGAAAGATTACAGATTACTACAATAAATTAAACTGTTTGTTACTGGTTTGCAAACATACAAACACAATGTAAATTAGTGCACGACTTTCTTCATGGAGAAAGTCTTAGTATGAAAAACAAAAAACCCCAAACCAATGTGTGCCAGAGGATTTAAATTCTTATGCAGGACAGTGACAAGTAGTACTACACACTGAGGAGCATGGTGTCAGCTGCATTCTCCAATTAGAATAAAAGTAGAAAGTAATAAGAATAAAGCCAGTCCTCTAAGCAAAAAAGTTACAGAATATCTAAAGGTAATGAGGACACAAACTATTAAGTGCTCCAATATAATCACCAAAAGAGATTGGTGATTCAAACCCACCCAAAGGTGCCTTGAAAGATAGACCTGGTGATTTGTTGCCAAAGTTTAAATCCTTGGAAGCCCTATGGAGCACAGTTCTGCTGGGAAATACATGGGGGCTCCAGGACTCGGAACTGACCTGATGGCAACTTGAAGAAGGAGAGACAGACTACTTCCAAACATATAGTCACTGAAAACCTTATGAATAGCAGTGAAACACTGTCAGCATCAGAATACTGAATATTGAAACATGATGAAGAGTACCAGAATATTGTTAGATATAGTGCCAGAAGATGAGCACCTCAGGTTGGAAGACACTCAATATATGGCTGGAGAAGAGCTGCCTCCTTATATTAGAGTTGACTGAGATCACACGAATGGAGTAAAGCCCCCTGGACTTCATTTGCTGATGGGGCACAACTCAGAATGAAGAGAAATAGCTGTAAACATCCATTAATAATCAGAACATGGAATGTGAGAAGTATGAATCTAAGAAGAATGGAAATTGTCAAAAATGAAATGGAACACATAAACATTGATATCCTAGACATCAGTGAGCTGAAATGGACTGGTATTGACCATTTTGAATCTGACAATCAAATGGTTTACTATGCTGGGAATGACAAATGAATGGCATCACATTCATCATCAAAAAAACATATCAAGATGTCTGGAAGTACAACACTTGTCTGGGATAGGATAATATCCATACACCTATAAGGAATACCAGTTAATACCACCATTATTAAAATTTACACATCAACCACTAAAGCTAGTGATGATGACATTGAAGAATTCTATCAATTTCTTCAGTCTGATATTGATCAAACATGCAATCAAGATATATTGATCATTACTGGCAATGAGAATGCAAAGGTTGGAAACAAAGAGGAAGGATCAGTAGTTGGAAAATTTGGCCTTAGTGATATCGTGATAGAATTTTGCAAGCCCAATTATTTCATTGCAAATACCTTTTTTAAACAACATAAAGATGACTATACACATGGACCTTACTAGACAGAATACACAGAAATCAAATTGATAACATTTGTGGAAAGAGACAGTGGAAAAGTTTCATATCATCAGCCAAAACAAGGCCAGGGGCAGATTGTGGAACAAACCATCAATTGTTCATATACAAATTCAGGCTGAAGCTGAAGAAAATGAAAATATAAAATATATCCCACCTGAATTTAGAGATCATCTGAAGAACAGATTGATGCATTAGACACTAAAGACTGAATACCAGAAGACTTGTGGGATGACATCAAGAACATCATACAAGAAGAAAGTAAAAGGTCATTAAGAAGAAAGAATGAAGGAAAAGACCAAAATGGACATCAGAAAAAACTGAAACTTGCTCTCCAGTGTAGAGATGCTTAAGCAAATAGAAGAAGTGAGGAGGTACAAAGCTGAACTGAATATTTCAGAGGTCAGCTTGAGAAGACAAAGTCAAATATAACAAAATTTGCAAAGACCTAGAGTAAGAAAACCAAAAGAGAAGAACATACTCAATGTTTCTGAAGCTGAAGGGACTAAAGAAAAATTCAAGCCTCGATTGCAACACTGAAGGATTCTATGACAAAAAGTTGAATGATGCAGAAAGCATCAAAAGACGATGGAAGGGGTGCTCGCTTCGGCAGCACATAAACTAAAATTGGAACGATACAGAGAAGATTAGCATGGCCCCTGTGCAAGGATGACACGCAAATTCGTGAAGCGTTCCATATTTAAAAAAAAAAAAGATGGAAGAAATACACAGTCACTGTACAAAAAGAAATGGTTGTTATTCAGCCATTTCAAGAGGTACGTTATGATAAAGAGCCAATAATACTTAAGGAAGAAGTCCAAGGTGCATTGAAGGCATTGGCAAAAAACAAGGCTCCGGAAATTGATGGAATACAAATGGAAATCTTTCAACAAAGTGAGGCAGTACTGGAGGCACTCACTCTTCTGTGCCAAGAAGTTTGAAATACAACTACCTGGCCAACTGACTGGAAGGGATTCATATTTGTGCTCATTCCAAAGATAGGTGACCCTACAGAATGTGGAAATCATCGGACAAGGTTATTGATAATTGCACGCAAGTAAAATTTTGGTGAAAATAATTAAAAAACGACAGCAACCATACATTGACAGAGAACTTCCAAAGGTTCAAGCCAGTCCCAGAAGAGGACATGGAATCAGGGATATTATTGCTGATGTCAGGTGAATATTGGCTGAAAGCCGAGAATAAGAGAAAAATGCTTACCTGTGCTTTATTGACTATGCAAAGGCTTTCAAATGTGTGGATCATGACAAACTTTAGGCAGCATTGCAGTGAATGAGTATTCCAGACCACTTAATTGTGCTCCTGAGGAACCTGTATATAGACAAAGAGGCAGTTCTTCAAACAGAACAAGAGAACACTGAATGGTTCAAAATTAGGAAAGGTGTGTGCCAGGGTTGTATTCATTCACCATACTTGTTCAATTTGTATGTTGAGCAAATAGTTTGAGAAACTGCATTATATGAAGAAAAACATGGCATCAGGATTGGAGGAAAACTCATTAACAACCTGTGATATGCAGATAATATAACCTTGCTTGCTGAAAATGAAGAGGACTTAAAATGCTTACTGATGAAGATCAAAGACCACAGCCTTCTGTATGGGTTATACCTCAGTGTAAAGAAAACAAAAGCCCTCATCACTGAACCAATAAACAACATCCATACAAATGTAGAAGAGATTGAAGTTGTCAAAGATTTCATTTTGTTCAGATCAACCATCAACACTCATGGAAATAGTCGTCAAGAAATAAAACAAAGTATTGCATTAGGCAGATATGCTACACAAAACCTCTTTAAAGTGTTCAAAAGCAAAGATGTCACTTTGAAGCCGAAGTCGCACTTGACCCAAGCCATGGCATTTTCAGTAATCTCATATTCATGTGAAAGCTGGACAGTGAATAAGGAAGACCATAGAGGAATTGGTACATTTGAATTATGGTGTTGGTGGAGAATATTAAAAGTACCATGGACTGCCAAAAGAACAAATCAGTCTGTGTTGGAAGAAGTACAGCCAGAATGCTCCTTAGAAGATAGGATGGCCAGAATTCATTTCTCATATTTTGGACATATTATCAGGAGAGTTGTAGAAAAAGAGGAAGACCCTTGGTGAGATGGATTGGCACAGTGGCAGCAGCCATGGGCTCAAACAGCAATGATTGTGAGGTTCGGGCTCAGGACCGGGAAGCATTGCATTCTGTTGCACAGGGTTGCTGTGAGTTGGTACCAATGCGATAGCTCCTAACAACAGCAACAGTCTGTCTTCAGAGTACACACTATTAACCAGAACACTCCATTGGCTATTAAAACTATGAAAATAATACAGTGAAAAATTACGTATCAGAACCTACAGGGTATGACTAAAGCATACCTTTAATTTTAAGGAAATGAAAACTCTGCTGTAGGCTTGAAAGCTAGTCTCAATTACTGTGCATTTTTTCCTGTCTTCCTTCTCTTCCTCGGTCTGCACCTTCCTCTGCTCTTTCTAGATTGCTTTTATATTTGCTTTTCTTTTTTACCTCTCCTGTTGAAGATAAAACAGATGTGGGAAAAAGATGTGGCAGTCAGGCTCTGTTATAGATTGTAGCCTTGGAAACCCTATGGGCAGTTCCACCATGTCCTACAGGGTCACTATGAGCCAGAATCTACTCGACGGCAGTGGGTTGGGGTTCTGTCGAGTAATATATGAGCAGATAGTTTTATTTCTGTTTTGTATCTTTTAAAGATGTAAAGATCGAATGTCTCCAGGAAAGTCGAGAATTAAACTTGCAAAAATTAAGGAAGTCCGAACTCATACTTACTGAAGCTAAGCAAAAAATGAGAGAACTTACAATTAATATCAAGATGAAGGAAGATCTGATTAAAGAACTGATAAAAACAGGTAATAGTATCCTATAAGCGAGACTTTATGAGGAAGAAGAGCTTTTAAAATTGCTTCTGATGTTGCCACATTTACTTTCATTTTCGAAGCTTAGGACTGTCCAATGTAGCTTGGAATCTGATATAACAAGGTGTGATTTAGAGCCAATATGTGGGAGGTTCTTTATCAAATGAGTCATGTTATATATACGCTGATTTCACCTATGAATTGTCCTAACCAGGTGAACTTGAACTTCAACAGTAGAATGAGTTTGCTCAGGGACAGTTGACTCTTAAGGGCAATTCCAAACCAGTTTTTAGGGTCAGTAGTTGTGCTTAGAATGAAAAGAGATATGTTGTTGTTGTTAAGTGCCTTGGAGTCGGTTTTGATTTATAGCAACCCTGTATAGGGTTTCCGAGGCTTCAAATCTGCACGGTTGAAGAAAGCCTCATCTTTTTCCTGCAAAAAGATATATAAAAATATTTATATTCTATTTTTCCATATGTTTAAAAATATTTGTAAGAAAAGCATTTAAAAAGGAATTCATCTTAAGTTGGCTATCCCTAGGTTAAAAGATTCTTAGGGACAACATAATCAGAGGTATTGGTGACCTTGTGTGGATCCTGATCAAAATTAACCAGTTGCAAAGATATTTTCGAGACAATTGGGGAAGTCTCAATATGGACTGAGAGAGATTAACATTGTTGCTGCTGTTGTTAAGTGCTGTTGAGTCGGTGTCAACTCATAGCAACCCTATATAGGGTTTCCAAGGAGCCGCTGGTGGATTTGAACTGCTGACCTGTGATTCGTAGTCCAGTACTGATCCTACAGTGCCACCCCATACATAACTGTTGTTGTTGTTATGTACCATGGAGTCGGTTCCAACTCATAGCAACCCTCTATAGGGTTTCCAAGGCTGTAAATCTTTACGGGAATAGAAAGCCTCATCTTTCTCCCGTGGAACAGCTGGTAGTTTTGAACTGTTAACCGTAGATTAGCAGCCCGATTCATAACCACTACGCTATCAAAGCGCCTTAATTATTGTTAGGTATGACTTTTTGGCTATGTCCATATTTCACATAGATTAAAGTATATGCAGGTGAAATGATATGACTTCTGGAATTTGCTTTATAGTAATTAAGCAATGTAAAGAAAAGAAAAACAGGTTTAGCTGAAGCAAAATCTTGGCTACTGTTGAATTTGAGTGGCAGGGGTTCATTATCTGATTCCCCTACATGATGGATGGACAAAAAGGGGTCATCCCTTGCTTTAAATCCCATGTTTAAAATTTTTCATAATCCTAAAGAATCAAAGGAGATATATGGATAGCAGCAAACGAAAGTGTGTATAAGCCAAGAGGCCGAAGAGTAATTCCAAATATCCTTAATGGAGTTTGCTGCCTGCAAAGCTAAACTGCCAGTTCAAAAGGTCAGAAATGTTACACTAAGACACTGAGGTGAATCAATGAGAAGACTGAATGGCACTTGTTGTTATGTGCCATCAAGTCAGTTTTGACCCATAGTGACCCTGTATAGCGTTGTGTGTGGGGAGGCAGTTTGTAAGCTTGAACCGCTGACCTTGAGGTTTAAACCGACTTTACAGTCCAGTGCATTAACCCACAGTGTTACACCAGGTCTCCCTGAATGGCACTAGATGGGAATAAATGGAGCTAATTACTAAAAGACCACCTGGCCAGTTGTGTTCGTGCCAATGGTGGGTATGGACCGCTGGGTTTTAACTTAATGCCAGCCTTATGTGGTAAACTGGCCCAACTGGATTTTTTAAAGAGTTGAACATTTTTACTCTTTTATTATTTTAATTTTTTTAGAAAACATTATTAAAAATTATTATTTTTATTTCTGGTGAAGGTAACGATGCTAAGTCTGTAAGCAAACAGTATTCTCTGAAAGTAACAAAACTAGAGCATGAAGCAGAACAGGCGAAAGTGGAATTAACTGAAACACAAAAACAGCTACAAGAACTGGAAAACAAGGAGCTTTCTGATGTTGCTTTGAAGGTAAAATTACAGAAGGAATTTCGCAAAAAGATGGATGCCGCAAAGCTAAAAGTCCAGGTAACTATAAAATGTAATTGCAAAACTTGTTTAGCTCTCCTGGTTTTGAAGATTGAAGTGGGATTCCATTTTTATTTTCAGCAAGAAAAATGAAATGGTAACTTTTCTTTGCCAGCGTGGTAGTCAGTTTACATATTTCTACAATTTTTAGGTTGGTAGTCTATTTCTAAGGAGCCCTGGTGATTCAGTGGTTAAACCCTCAGCTGCTAATCAAAAGGTCAGCAGTTTGAATCTACTAGCCACTCTGCAGGAGAAAGCTGTAGCAGTCTGTTTCTGTAAAGACTGTTGTTGTTAAGTGCCATCGAGTCAGTTCCTATTCATAATGACGCTATACAGGATTTCTGAGAAGCATCTGGTGGATTTGAACTGCTGACCTTGTAGTCTGAAGTCCAGTGCTGATCCTACAGCATCACACCAGGGCTTGGAAACATTATGGGCAGTTCTACTCTGTCCTATGTGCCACTATGCCAGTGGCAACAGGTTTGGTTTTAGTACATTTTTTTCATTCAAGAATTATTACTTTAGGGAGGCGGGGCTTGATGGCGGCTAGGGTGGAGGTGCAGTGAAGGTCGTCGTCAGCAATAGCACAGAATACCAGGCAAAGCAGAGCCAGGGCAGAGCTCCAAAACTCGGAACCACAGAGATAGGAATATTTTAAAGGTTTGAAGGCTTATAGCTTGTGGAGTTTGGAGCGGAAGTAAAAAATTGCGTACTTTTGAATTTGCCGGGCCAGGCTCGGAGGCCTGAGCCGACATCCTGGGCGACACCAAGCGGCGGGATGAAATAGGGGCTGCAGAGACAGCACGGAAAAACGCAGCGGGAACCTTGGTACAAAGGTGGAAAATATAGTTTGTCAGTTTTGCCTTGTTCTGATTTTCTGTTTTTCTTTGGTATCTGGTAATTGGCGTGCTCACTGTTTGCCCACCTCCATTCTGGGGAATAGAGGGAGAGCCTGAGCCGAGTTGCCACCCCACCATCATCACCGCTGGTGGATTCTTCTGCCACAAACCCACACATACACTCAGCCAAAGCGGAGGCACTGATCTGTTCCCTTTTTGTTCTGTTTTTTTATCACGGGAAAGAGGAGGGGCCTAAAGGGACGGAAAGAGAGTTTAAAGGCAAAATCTCTCAGGCAGCTTTGAGTCAGGAACGTAGGACATTAAAGACATATTAAGCTATAGATTTTTTCCCCCTTCTTTTTTTTCTGTCCCTCCCCTCCCTTTTCTGTGATTAGAGACTGCAATATTCAGTCTTGTTTTTTCTGGTGCTGTTTTTTTCTTTTTTTTTACCCAGCTGGTGTTGTTTTGCTGTTATATAGCCCCCCTTCTACCTTTGGAGGACTCTTTGTCTCCCTATATTACACAAGAAGAGTCAGCAACCACTGCCATATAGCCAAGCTACAATCACACTGTATAAAACACCAAAACCCAGGCAAGAACCAATACCAGCTGCCATATACCAGGGAAACAGACAACACCTGTGAAAGTTATTCTGAATTAAACAATAAGAAGAGTGAAAAGGGAAGTCCAGATCCTGATCACATCTTCCTGGAAGCAATCAGAAAGCATAAAAAAATTACCAAAACACATACTAAATTAAGTATTAAGGCCACAGATAAACGTTAAACATGTCCAAGAAGCAAAAGCAGATGACCATATCAGCTCATGTCCAGAAAAAAGATAAAATGTCTGAGACAAATGACCTAGAAGTAGACCTGGACTCCATTCTGGAAGGAGGGCAGGCCTTGGAAATGCCTGAGAAAGAATTCAGAAAAATGATTATAAAATGTTTCA